AAACTTCCACAGGCTACTGTAATATTTTTATAAAACTTTTGAATTCTCTGTACACCCTAATATACGTTTTGCCATTGAAATAGAAAGTAATAACAATCTCCCATTCTCAGATATTCTTATCAATAGATAATCAGACCTAACATTGGGTCATTGTGTTTACAGAAAACCTATGCACACAGACCGATACCTTAATGCATGATCACATCACAATCCGGCCCAAAAATCATCGGTTATCAACTCTCTTGTTTACAGAGCCGTAAGACTATCTCAGTCCGAGTCATTGGACCCAGAACTAAAACACCTTAAATCTGGTCTTCTCTCTAATAATTTCCACATTAAATGCACTTCACCACAACCTTCCAATAGCAATGAGGCCGAAAGCAATCCTACATGTGCCACAATGTCCTTCCTTATATTCACAATATCACTGACCACTTATCAAAAGTTCTAAAGAAATATAACGTCAAAACCGGATTTATCACCTGTCCAAAAATTTCTCAACATCTTCAATCCGTCAAAGATAAATTATTTGAGATGCCAGGAGTTTACAGCATTCCGTGCATATGCGGCAAAGAATGCATTGGAAGGACGGGACGAAAATTATTAACTAGACTCAAAGAACATGAAAGAGCCAAGTTTTGAGGAAGCCAACAGGATGATTGGCGAAACGTTAGCTAGTTCGAGGCAACAAAAACCGATGCAGAAGGGATCCAAAAGTTTTATAAAAAGTAGGTACATCTTTCCTGAAAAAAATTAAATTAAGTGGTTCGCAAAAAAATATTGTCAAATAGTGTTTTATTTTTATTTACTTATTTATTTATTCCACACAACACGTTAAGTGACCAATGGTTTTGGTTTTGCACTTCCCGTACCCAAAATGGATTAACTGTTAAATAATAATGCATGTTGTGGTGATTATAGAAGTTCTAGGTGTAGTTGCATATGAAAGGGATGGATGATATTTGTCGTTTCTAGTAGTGCGATTAACGGTAGCTATTGATCGCTACTCACCTGGGGATTATCTTGAACTTGAAGTAAAATTTTCAATTCTTTTTTCTCATCGGTAGCATTTCGGTTTACCACTTTCCGTTTTTTTATATTCAATACTACAACTAGCACCAAAGCGTTTTATTAAACACTGAAGAGATTGTCTAGTTTGTATACGTCTATTAGGGTAATTCGCTTTCTGAAGTCTTACTGCCAACAAAGTTGGCAAAATAAATTTGATGAATTTAGTTATTCAGTTGTCAGTTCAAAATTTGACAACACCATTTTGTCATGGAAAAAAGGATAAATATTGGAAAAGTTAAAATAAATTTCAATGCCTGACAAATAGGTATATGACATACATACTTAATACATGTTGTAGATTTTTTGTACGATCTTTCAGAAAAAAAAAATATGGTGTGCCATGTGAGCAAATCGAGATTTTTCAATTTAAAATTATCTAAATTTATTCGTTTACTTTGAACACCTGCAGGCATCTAATTCAAATTATTTTGCATATATTTTTTACGTTATCTTCGAATAATGCTAATATCAAATACGAGTGATCTGAAAAATAATGACGCTACTGTAATTTTTCTGTAGGTATGAAAACTAGTGTTTTTTTTTTAGAAAATCCAAACTACTGAAGAAACTATTAGGTTTAGGTATGTATTAATATTAATAAAAAAAAAATAAAGTTTCAAAATACAAAATTGAAAATTACTTTGTT